AATGATACAAACGACGAAAACTGCAACCTTCCGATCACTAATGTGAAACTCAACATACATGAACGGGAGCTTGCAGATACTCTAGACGAAGACGAGAGCGTGGTGGGTCCGCACGAGGTAGTTTCGTTTATTACATTTATCACTTCTCTTCAAGGGATTTTCATCGGAGAGACCTCTACCCAATGCCATCATTTCACAACAAGCTGAAAACCAGGTACGATAGTCATTGCAACATATCGTGTTTGATAGAAAAATCATTAAGATAAGCGCAATTGGGAACGTTGCACAGCACCGGCAAAGATCTGTACCCAATTTACGTATAGCTTTGACTGTGAACAATGTAGAGGAGAACTACTTAGGGTCACTGAGTGTGGCTTGCAGTCACTGCGGAGCTTTCTATTTTCCGGGTGAGGCTAGACGCGTCAGCGGATGTTTCAACGCCTGCTGTAATTTCGGCAACATCTCTTTGAATTTGTTTTCGGAATTTCCGGAACTTTTTCATTCCTTTTTCACCGGAACCGATGCTCTTTGCAAAAATTTTCGCCAGCACATACGATCCTATAACAGTGCCCTTGCCATGGCTTCAATGGGGGCTCAGGTGGATACGCCGCGTGGTTCTGGGCCATACTGTTACAGGATCCACGGTCAAGTGTATCACTATGCTGGACCCTTAACGCCGAAGGAAGGAATTCGTCCACAATTTGGCCAAGTGTACATACTGGACACAGATTCTGCAGCTGCTGAAAGGAGTGGAAACCCAGCGAATGCAGAATGCAGTGCTACTGTGATGCAGCTGTTAACATCGTGGCTACATACTCACAACAGTTATGCAGTTTCACTCCAAATGATGGGTAGTGTGGCTGCGGAGGAGGAGCGACGAGCTCTTGCAGAAGGAAGAGAGGTACCAACAATTCGCATGATCTTCGAAGATGTTTCTAATCTCGACCGTCGCCGCTACAATGTCCCCGCAGCGAATGAGATTGCGGTTGTGTATGTTGGAGAAGATAACGACGTTCCGGCCACTCGTGCTCTTGCTATTCATCACAAAAGAGATGGTCTACAACTCATTCGAGATATCGACGGTTGCTGCGACCCTTTAACTTACCCGCTGCTGTTTCCTAGGGGAGGACTGTGTTGGCATGTGGATTTGACGAAGAATCCCAGCGGCCGCAGTCGTACAAGAATCACCCAGCGCGAATTCTATTCCAATCTTCTTGCGCTACGATCTTCATTTAACCCCCTTCATCATGCCGGCAAACTTCTGCAGCAATTTGTGGTTGATGCATATGTGAAAATTGAGCAGAACCGTTTAAATTACATGCGCACACATCAAAAGGAACTCCGAATCGACAGCTACCGAGGACTTATGGATCACCTGGCCAGTGACAATGTAGATGGACCTCCGGGACAACGGGTCATCCTGCCATCTTCATTTCCTGGCAGTCCTCGTGCCATGCATCAGTCCTATCAAGACGCGATGTCTATAGTTGCAAAATATGGAAAACCTGACTACTTTCTGACGTTTACGTGCAACCCTCAGTGGAGGGAAATCAAGGAAAATCTGTTTCCTGGCCAGTCCGCTTCCGACCGGCCTGACTTGGTTGCTCGTGTGTTTCATCGAAAACTGAAGATATTGCATAACTATCTTTTCGAGAAGAAAGTGTTGGGATCCGTTGCGGCTTATGTCGGAATCGTAGAATGGCAAAAACGTGGACTTCCCCATTGTCATATGCTTCTCATAATGACTACAGATGCAAAACCGAGGAGTCCCGAAGACGTCGATGCTGCAGTTCAAGCGCAAATTCCAAACGCCTCCGAGAACCCCCGCCTTCTGGGCATCGTTGCGAAAAATATGATTCACCGTCAGTGCGGAGCAACCAATCCGACTGCGCCATGTATGGTGAACGGAGAGTGCGCAAAGCGCTATCCCAAGGAGTATCGGGAAACGACGGATGTTGATGTAGACGGCTATCCTAAATACCGAAGACCTGACAATGGACGCACCGTAACTACTGGAGGAAAAATCTTTGATAACAGGCACGTTGTGCCCTACAACCGCTATCTGCTGTTACTCCTTAACGCACACATAAATTTGGAAATATGCGGTTATTTACAGGCAGTGAAGTACTTATATAAGTATGTGTATAAAGGACCAGATCGAGCTTCACTGCGACTGCTGCAACAAGATCGTAGCCAAAAGTTTGACGAGATCAGGGCTCATCTTGACGCCCGATATGTGTGCGCACCGGAAGCACTGCATCATATTTTCTCGTATGAATGCCAGTTCAAATCTGACACTGTATGTCGTTTACCAGTCCATCTTCCCGATTTCCAATCGGTGACGTTCCAGTCAGGGGAAGAACGCGAGGCGGCGGTGCGCGAGGCAGCTAAAGATTCTATGCTTACAGCATGGTTCAAGCTAAATAGTGAGTATGAAATCATGGGAGATAATGCTGGAGCATCTACAATGGTGGACCCGCGAACGCTGTATTACCATCAGCTACCAGAGCATTTCACTTTTGTAAAGGAACGCAAATGGAAAAGAAGAGAAAGGAGTAATCGTCAAATTGGCCGCATGCACACTGTTCCACCTAATGATCCAGAGAGGTTTAGTTTGCGCATACTACTCCTTCACCGGAAAAATATACGATCTTTCGAAGATCTTCGTACCGTTGAAGGTCGCCTGCATCTAACATTTCTGGATGCGGCACGTGCTTTGGGTCTCTTGCACGACGATTCTCACTATGAAAGTTGTTTGGAGGAAGCTGCAAGATTTCAGATGCCTGCGGAACTACGGGCACTATTTAGTTACATGCTGGCGTTTTGTGAGATTTCTGATCCACGAAATCTATACGATCGCTTCAAAAGTGACATGGCGGAGGATTTTATATACAGAGGATCAACGGAATACGAAGCTGAGGCACTTGCTTATTTTGACCTGTACGATAGATTGCAAGTTCTCCGCTACGACCTCTCCGTAAGGATTCCTTTGCCTGCGCAAAGTCGACCAGTATTGCCGGATCAGACTGATTATGCCTATCATGATCAAAAAGGCAAGGAGATGTATCAGTGTCTGAATCAACAACAGAAATTGGCAGCAGATGACATCTTAGCCTCCTCCGTTTTTGGGCGGGGTAAACTTCACTTCGTTGACGGTCCTGGAGGTAGTGGAAAGACGTATCTGTACAACGCCATATACCACATTTTGAAAGGGGAACGCAAGTCTGTCGTTTGCGTAGCCTGGACAGGGATCGCAGCAAGTCTTCTACCTGAAGGCCGCACAGCGAGCTCCACATTCAAACTGAACATGAAGTCTGGCAACCGAGAATGTTCAATGCGTCGAGAAGCTAAAGAAGCCACCATATTGAAAGAAGCGAGTACCATCATTTGGGACGAAATTAGTATGGTTCCAAGATTTTCGCTTGAAGCAGTCGATCTTCTTTTACAAGACCTGATGTGCACAAACGAACTTTTTGGAGGAAAAACAGTGGTGCTAGGTGGTGACTTTCGTCAAGTATTGCCAATTGTAGAGCGCGGAAGAGAATGCGACATGATTGATGCATGCGTGAAAAATAGCCAATTTTGGAAATCGTTTCGCATGCATCGTTTATCAGTCAACATGAGGGCTGCAGAGTCAGGCTCCTCTTGGTGTGATTTTTTGATGAGCGTAGGAAATGGTGAAGCAAGTGAGGATGAAGCGGGACGAATACAGCTTCCGACGGAGATAATCTCTAATGGGAATCTCATTGATGAGGTCTTCGGTGATCTACTCACCGATTTTGAAACGCTGAGTGAACGTGCAATACTGACACCGCGGAATTTAGAAGCACATAGGATCAACGAAGAAGCTTTGGAAAAATTACCCGGACTCCTTCATGAGTATAGGAGTATAGACGACGTGGTTAGCGAGGACTCCCAGTCAACAGATTATACCAGCGAGTTCTTGAACAGCCTAGCACCTGCCGGATTGCCTCCCCACAAGCTTAGAATGAAGGAAGGTTCGATAGTGATGCTTTTGAGGAATCTCGATGTTAGAAATGGGTTGTGCAATGGAACAAGGCTAATTGTCACCCACTTTGGCCGCTTTGTTTTAGGGTGTCGATTTGCGTGCGGCGAAAGGAAAGGGAAATTCGTGTTGATTCCACGCATCGACAATTATACTGACACGGGGGTTCCTTTCCGACTACGAAGACGGCAATTTCCTCTGCGATTGTCCTTTGCGATGACGATTAACAAAGCTCAGGGACAAAGTTTGTCAAATGTAGGAGTTTGCCTTGCAACGGATGTGTTTTCTCACGGTCAACTGTACGTCGCTTTATCCAGAGCACGACGGAAGGAGGGACTCAAAGTACACAAAAACGAGGACAGAGTGACCAATGTAGTTATAAAGGCAGT